AAAATATTTTCAATATGAAAATTCATGGTAAAATCCCAATCCAAATTTTCATTTTTATCAAATTCTTGTTCATTTGATGGTGACATGCGTAAATATATCGATTTAGTAGTTTAAAAAAATTAAGAAGTATAAAATAATAATAATATTTTTTTGTGCATTAAAAAAAAAAGATAAAGTAAAATATTCAGTATCGATTGCCTATAAAAACAAAAATAAAGTTGTAGAAAAGATTTTTTAAGATATTTATTTAATAATTTTTTTAAAATACTCCAAATAGTTTTTAGACATTTTTTTATAAATTTAAATATAGATAAAATATAATAAAAATAAAAAAAAATTGAAAATAAAAATAAAAAAGATCGGAAATAGTCTCTAAGGAAATATATTTCACCCTCCCAAAGCAAAAAATCATATAAAAAAATTAATTTTGGACCTTATTTTGGAAAATATTTCCGTACATAAGACGTACGCAGCGTTGTGTATGTCGGAGGTTATTCAAAGGATACATGCAGGTTCTATCCGCATTATACCCTCCTGTAACCTCTCTACAACTTACCTGTAACTACCGGAACTACAGAAGCGTAGAACTTATTTGTAAGTTACATATAAGTTACAGGTAAGTTACAGAGAGGTTAAAGGGGGGTATAACACGGATGAAACCCCATTATACCCTCTGAATAACCTCCCGACGTACGAGCTCTATGTACGTCTTACGTACGCAAATATTTTCCCCTCATTTTAGACAAGTTTATTAAATAGAACTTCCCAAGCAAAATAAATAAAATATAATGACGGAACTCTACTAAAATTCTGGGAAATTTACATAAATACCACATAAATTTCATGTATTTATATATCTAACACTAACAATTTCATTTTTATATTTAAAACACCTTGATGTCATAAATTTAAAGGTACACTTGACTTTTAAAAAAAAATAATTATTATTATATTATTATGTGACGTAAATGATTTGAGTTGCATGCGTTTAATTATGAAATTAAATGCACAAAATTTAAGCCAAATGTACAATTGTACCTTTTCATAAATAGCTATAACTTTCGGTCTAAAATTTTAAAATCAATTATGTTTGTGGAAGGCCTTTGGAATGAAAGAATGTCATATTAAAAAAATATATATTTATATTATATTTTGAAGTTAAAGTTAAAATTTTCCCATTATGTTTCATTCTTATAAATTATTATGTGTAATGTGCCAAATATAAAAATGCTAAATACAAAATACACCTAAGATATATGACAATTAGGCAAATTTTAAGGACAAGCAATCCACTTCAATCATTTCATATCCTATTTTCCTCTAAGCATTTAGAGTTCTACAAAATCCTAATAACTCATTTAACACATATCGTACCACTTTTTTTTTTTTTTTTTTATTGGAAAAAAAAATTTGTAATGGTCACTCAGTTTTTTGAACAACAACTTTTGCAACAGTTTCACAACTGATTTTTCAAACAGCTGCAGCTACCCCAAACATACCCTAAGTCGTAGGAAGTTTGGTGTTGCTTCAATTTTCAATTTTATTATCTATTTTGTTTATGTTTTGATTTGAAACAAAATATTTTTAATATGATATAATATTTTTAGTTGAGGTGTGTCATCAACAATTTTTTATTAAACATACATTTTGATGCATTTTTCCTAAGGGGTCTTCAAAATTCAAAGTCAATATCATAGGAACCTCAATTTATTAAGTTCATAGTTAAATCGATCATTCCTACAAGACAAATCTATTGATCTCAAAGTTAGTTCAATTCAAGTCAAATCAAGCTTATATCAAGTCGTGGAAGCATAATTAGAGGTTTTGTATTATAAATTTAATGTTCAAATGTTAATGTTCAAATAAACTCCAAATGTGGCATATGTATAGTCAAATTAAGCGCTTCGATGAGAGGAATCCAATGAGTCTAAACTTGTTCAATTTTGTGGTCATTAAAACACCTGAATCATTAAAAAAAACTAATTATAATTAAGCGGGTCAACATCGATCATCCAATTAAGTGGTTAGAAAAGTTACACGCCAAAATACTAAAATGTCCTTCAGCAAAAGACTATAAATAGACCCATTATTTTCAATTGGAGGGGAGAAGAAGATAATAAGAAATGAAATTTTAGAACTTGTTATGAAGAAAACCCGACAAATAACCATCGATATAGTTGTCGATCGACCAACATCAACCACTACATGTCGGCCATAGTTAACTGTCACTCAGTGATCAACCGCAATTGACTACCAACAATTGATTGTTAGCGATCACTGCTTGCAACAGTTGTCGACAAACTAATGCATTTGTGGCTAACTATTACTATTAAAGCTTCAAACTTCAACCTTTATGATCAATTAGTGTTGTTGCAACCACCAACTACAAATTTTATAGTCAAATACTACATTTGCAACAATCAACCATGACATTTGTGGCCAACTATCATTGTTACAATTTTCAACTACGATATTTGTGACCAACTATTGTTATTACAAGTATCGACTACAATCTTTATAACTAACTACTGCATTTGTAACAATCAACTACGGTCTTCATGACCAACTATTTCTATTATATGCAAGAACTAAATTTGTTGTGGCCCAATTATTAATATTATAATTAAACTACTATTCTACATTTGGGATTATCAACTTTGTAATTCTATTCCTTTAATTCACGATAAAAGTGAACCTGTGTACTTAGATTATATAATAGACTATTTTTAGCGGGTTAAATCCTACGATTTTTTTCCCTTCCATGAATTTTCCACATAAAAAATATGGTGTATCCTTCTAATACTTTTCTTTTATCTGTGTATGTGTTGGATTTTCCTTCAATGCTAAGACGTTAATTTATCACTTCACCACCTTGAAATTCTGACACACAACAAATTATTTTAAAAACCACTCAAAAACAAATTTTAAGTGTTTCAAGTGTCCTTAAAAACAAACTATTTTGTTTTAAAAATAAATAATAAAAACGTGCAAAAAAATATTGTAAGCATGTTTTTATAATAAAAGTAAAAATAAAAAATAAAAATAAAAATTGAACGTGAACCCGAACGAGCAAGTAATGAAGCCGATGCACTGAGCCCACGGGATTGAATAAGTTAAGAGACAAGGCTTCATCAGCCTAGGGGTGTCAAAATTCAACCCGACACACAAACTCAACCATAAACCCTAAGCTAAAAAAATATAAGTATAGGCTGACCCGATTAATTTTCAGGCTGAATTCAGGTCCAAAATCCCAATACATATACCTTTTTTTTGGATTAGATCAACATTAACCTGCCAACCCTAAATTGACAAATTTGAATTGAAATTTGACCCAAACATAATCAGATTTGAGACGGTCGTTGCTTAGGGAGCAGGAGGAGGCTTTTATGGAATTATATTGGAGATTCAGCTCCTGCTCGCAGGTCCCTTGCTGAATCTACTGTTACATCATGCCCCACTGTAAGTCCCTTTCTTTTTGTAGGACATCAAAATAAAAATCTATGCTACTACTATAGCAAGAGAAATTATTACATCTGGTGTCTGGAAGTCTGGACAATGCGATGATCCGGCCATGCAAAATGCATGGTGATATGATTGGATCGTCGTTGTTGTTGAGACGTGCGGTTCACTACTGGACGTACTAATTTTTCTTACCATCGACATCTTATTGGACGTTGAGCATATTATTGTTTACAATTTGAGTGGCCTCCCTCCTATAGATCAAGCAAGTCTTCAAGCTATATTAGAACCAATCTCTGACCAGTTAATCAAGATGAGTTTAATATCTACTTTCCAACGAAGAGACTGCTCAAGCGGCAAAGATTGTTACCTCTGACCTCTACAACAACACACCTCATACATTGCTCTTGTTGCCACAAGAGTTCATGGAAAGAATCATGTTTTTTATTCAGATTATGTTCGTGACCATTCATCAGTCTATCATGCTCTGTCTGGCCAGCCAATCTCTTATCATATTTAGGTAAAATAGTCACATATTGCATTTACCTATTAGAACCACAAATACCTCAATTAATATATTTCTGCTAGCCTCATTTGGTCGATCCAACCTCTCCCAATGTAGATTGGTACATTGATATGGGGGCTACCTCCAACGCAAATCCAGAGGAAGAACACAGAGATTTGACGAGGTTCGGCAAAGATGCCTACATCCTCGGGAGCAAGCAACAAATTTCACTATTCCAGAGAAATTGCATGCCCATCGGGTTACACATCTATTTATAGATAAAATTACCACAACCCACTAATCCAAGAGACACACCTCTTCACACCAAAAGACGCTTCTTTTCATTCCAGGAAATACACCTTTCAAGATATTTCAAATTTCCTGATATATGAGCCATACCTAACAGTTATGTATGTAAATATGAACTTTTAGATGTGGGATCTTAAATTTCCCTTTTAAAAAGTAATGATTGTGATGTTGTTAATATGATGTTAGATATTTGCACGATATAAACATAAATATGAATGTTTAAGTGTTAGCATGTAAATATACAAGATTTGTGTACCTAAATGCCCCTTGATTATATTATGTAATAAATCATACTAAAGTACATATAATTATTTAAATATGTATCAATTAATATTAGTTATTATAAATAATATAAGTCGTTCAACTAAATAATATGGTTTTTATACTTTTGAAATTTTCGTACAATTATTTCGTCCTGTAAAACGGAATTGCTGGGCTCAGCAGTGAGCAAATGACGGGCCGGTTCAATTGGCCGGCTCTCATGTCAAACAAAAAGATCACATATTTAAATTAAACTATAAAGAATTTACATTAACATATAAAGCAAATACAAGGAATTGGGTGGTATGCATGTAAAGGAACCAATAAGCCCTATAAAGACTCTCCGGCCATATCATTGCTCCATTCAGGCAACTAAAGAGTAGGCTCCTTCTTCTTCTTCTTCACTTCACCTCCCCTTCTCCGTGGAATAACAGGAAGGTGCAGCTGAACAGGAGTTGCAACAGCTTTTTGTTACCGTTTAATGGCCGGGGGAGGGGGAGGAGGGTCGAGAGACCTTAACGTCACGCCGACATGGGCGGTGGCGGTTGTCAGTGCGGTCATCATCCTCATCTCCTTCTTTCTCGAGAAGATTCTCCATCGACTTGGACAGGTTCGGCCTTGCTCGTCAGCTACGAGAAAATATTATGTGTAGTCTGCCGTACGTACATCTAGACAATATCATCAAGACGTATGGTCGCCATACATAATATTTGCGTGTTGATTTTGAAAGGGTTATTGATGCAATTTTAAAATTTCAGTGGTTCAGAGATAAGCACAAGAAGGCTCTGTATGATGCTCTGGAGAAGATTAAGTCAGGTGAGAAGTTTGGACTTATTGTTCCTTCATTTTTTGCTCTTTTGTGAACTCTGAACTTTCTGCTTGGCTTTCTCCGCATAGTCTAGCGAGGAGGTGATGACTAATTCTATGGTGTTTGATTCTTTGGATTAATGCTGAAGCATTAATGGCTACCAGCCAATATTATATTTATACATTATGAACTTTTCTTCACTGTTACATTCAAATTTATTAACATGACATCAAAAAAATAGTACTTTTAAGAGTCAAATGCACATTTTTCATGCAAAATTGTAAAGTATGGTGTTAGGGGTGAGAAATGTAAATATATAAAAATTGTGCCTTTTTAATTAATTTTTGTTTTTTTTTTCAGAGTTGATGGTTCTTGGCTTTATCTCCTTGTTGCTGACATTTGGACAAAGCTACATTGCAAAAATCTGCATACCTGTGGGTTTGGCAAATACCATGCTTCCATGCCATCGTGATGATGGTGATGGGGAGAAACAGAGCAGGAGGAGGCTTTTATGGAATTATATTGGAGATTCAGCTCCTGCTCGCAGGTCCCTTGCTGAATCTACTGTTACATCATGCCCCACTGTAAGTCCCTTTCTTTTTGTAGGACATCAAAATAAAAATCTATGCTACTACTATAGCAAGAGAAATTATTACATCTGGTGTTTGGAAGTCTGGACAATGCGATGATCCGGCCATGCAAAATGCATGGTGATATGATCGGATCGTCGTCGTTGTTGAGACGTGCGGTTCACTACTGGACGTACTAATTTTTCTTACCATCGACATCTTATTGGACGTTGAGCATATTATTGTTTACAATTTGAGTGGCCTCCCTCCTATAGATCAAGCAAGTCTTCAAGCTATATTAGAACCAATCTCTGACCAGTTAATCAAGATGAGTTTAATATCTACTTTCCAACGAAGAGACTGCTCAAGCGGCAAAGATTGTTACCTCTGACCTCTACAACAACACACCTCATACATTGCTCTTGTTGCCACAAGAGTTCATGGAAAGAATCATGTTTTTTATTCAGATTATGTTCGTGACCATTCATCAGTCTATCATGCTCTGTCTGGCCAGCCAATCTCTTATCATATTTAGGTAAAATAGTCACATATTGCATTTACCTATTAGAACCACAAATACCTCAATTAATATATTTCTGCTAGCCTCATTTGGTCGATCCAACCTCTCCCAATGTAGATTGGTACATTGATATGGGGGCTACCTCCTATCTAACATGAAATATCAACTAATTACACAACTTAAAGCACAATACAACATGCAATAAGTCACCCTTGAAAATGGTTAATCGTTGTCAACTCCAATACTGGTGAAGGCATACTCTCCTACCAAACCAGAAAGTTAGCTCTCGCTCGACTTCTTCACTTCTTAATTGTCTTCAATAATGTTATCCAAGTCTATCATATGATTATTGGAACTACCTACGAAATCTCTTCTGATGCAACTTGCTCATATAATGATCTAAAAAATAGGCCAACATATCGCTTTGTGAGACGTGCCATTGTAGGCTCTGTAAAATTGTGCTATGAACTCTCATTGAAAGATTAGTGTTTGTTCTGGGTCAAATTTTTAGAAGGTAGGTTAGATTATTGATAAGACACTGCCCAAATATTTCATCTTCATCTTGTGAGGATATATTGGGTCTTAGATTTCCGTTTGGTGCAAGGCTCTATGGTTAGTTACCCTTCTAAATAACGAGTGAGCATTTTCGATTAAGATTAGTCATTAAGCACATAATATTCAACGCATAATAGCAAAAAACTTAGGGTTCTAATTATAAAATACATCACATTGATCTTAAAGTGAATTATGGGAGAAAATGATGACAAACACAATCAAACTTCAATGGTTTTATCGTTTCGGGTTAACTTGATCCTTGATTTACTTATTTATAGAAGGTAGTTGACCCAATTTGATAAAAAGATCATTGCTAATAACCATAACTTGCAAGAACTTTATAAATATGAGGTGAATGTTTAACGTTAGCTAATAGATGATTTCGTGATAATTAAATATACTCTTATGATTCACAATTCAAATAAAAGAAGGTCACTGAAAAACACACATACCATAGCCGACACC